GTTCTGCCGGTAGTACCGGCTGTCCCTTGGGAAGGGTCTGTTTCCCCGGACCCAAAGGGGGATTTTCAGCCACGAGATCGTTTCTTTACAGTTTGGGAGGGGCGTGAAGGCACCAGTAGGTCTCTGGTGGGATTGGGAAATGGAAAATGGGATTGGGAATGGAAATAATTGGGAAACGGCTGGTGGGGATTGCTGCTCCGGTTTTATTTCCCGAAAGCAAAATTGGAAAGAGAAATGGGCGGGCAGAGCGTTCGGGACAGTGTTCCGGCCGCCAGGGACAGTATTCGGGGCGTTTAGGGACAATGTTCAGGTTTGTTTGCCGAGAGGGAGCAGGGAACATCTGCTGGTGGGGGGGGGAACATCAGCAGGGCGGGGGGAGCAGCCCGACCCCCCCTCCTGCCCGCCCAGCACCCCCCGGCCTCGGGGGTCCCTGGAGCTGGAAATGTTGCTCCTCTGGTTCCTGATGTGCGCGGCGTTAATGGTGCTCGTGTTGCTAATAATGTTCTGTGGTTAGTGCTGACCTCCCCAGGGCCAGGGCTGGGGCCAGGGCTGGGGACAGGCTGCCCCACTCTGCTGCAGGCCTGGGGACAGTTTTAGCCCCAGACACCACCAGGAATTGGGAATGAGCCACGGAAATGAGGCCGGGATTAGAAAGTCCCTTCAGGGCAGAGGCTGGGGGGAGATGCCACCCAAACCCCCACCAACCTCGAGCAGGAGAAGCTCTTGGCTCTGACACCAGGTATTTCCAAGCACCCTGCCCTGTGTTTAGGCTCCTGGATCAGCCCAGCTGGGATGTCCCCACGCCTGGGATGTCCCCACACCTGGCATCATGACAGGTGATGCCACTGGCTTCGTGAGAGGCTGTGACCAAGCAGCCCAGGTACCACATGCACGTCCTTGGTACCAAAGCCTCTCCCAAGCCACACTGACCTGCTCCAGCTCCTCCTCCCTTCCCTTCTGCCACCCAGGGCTGCTGGTGCCTTTGCAACTGGCTGCAGCAGCTCGGGGAGCCCCGGAGAGGAAAGCAGCTGCTGTGGGCTCCTCGGTGCTGCTTCCCGGGCTGCAGGATGTCACACACATCGACCCCATGCGCTGGGAATTCCTCAATGGCACCAGCTCCCACACCATCCTGCAGCGCTCCAGGGGCTCGCCTGGCCCCACCATCCACACACCTTACGTGGGACGAGCCCTTTTCCATCCCACCAATGGGTCTCTCTTGCTGAAGAACGTCCAGGAAAGTGACAGTGGCATCTACAGAGTGACCAGTGATGTGGGAGACAGGGATAGCCTGGAGATCCTACTGCAAGTCCTCGGTGAGTGGTGGGCATGGGAGGCAGGGGTGATGGATACAAACAGAGCAGGGGTTCTGTTCCACTGTGTATGGACCATGGGCCAGATCAAGGGGTTTGGAAAAGGGAATTTGAGCCTAATGAGCCAGTCATAGTGTTTGAACTTGCCATGCATGGAGACATCACCAGGGAGACTGGGAAGAGGTTCCCAACCAGTCACAGTGGAGGTGACTTGCCCAAGGGGACATCCCATGGTGCCTGGCTGTGACAGAGGGCTGGAAGGCAAAGTCCTCCTGGGTTTTCCAGCCCAGAAAGGCAATGTTTTCTCTCCATGCAGGGATGGAGAGGGTGGGACTCCATTGAGATCACCCCTGGCCCCTCTTGTGAGGGGATCTGGCAGAAGGAAGCCCCGGGGATGGGCTGGGTGGAGGGTCAGGACAAGGCTGGCTGGTGGGCTCTGGGCAGCCTGCAGGCACCAGTGGTGCAGAGACAAGAGCCTGCTTAAAATGAACACTGAAACTCAATAGCCCTCTTGGCAAGTCCCTTAATTCACTCTGCTCTCCTCTTTGCTCTAATGCTGTTGCTGCCCTGGTGCCACCACAGCCCTTCACCACCCATTGCTCCTTTCCCATCACAACCCCAACGGGATCTGCCTTTTGTTTGTCTCATTTCCTGATGTGATTCCAAACACCCTCTGCTTACCCAAAAGCGATAAAAACAATGACTTGGCTGAGGGGAGGAGGGGG